GCATGCAATGAAAGCCATTCTGTGATAATTGCCTCAAATTCTCCTGTCAAGCAGTGATTGAAAAATGAGAACTGAGAAACCACAAGACCAGGTGCATGAGAAAAAAAGTAGGTTAGGAATTGTACATGCCAGATTGTGAATCAGGCTGCACTCCCCTCAAGGCCATATTCTTCCAGTTCCACAGCTTGTTTCATGGACAGGAAGACGATGGAGAAGAACCATCTCTGGAGATGGTCTGTTTTTCCCAGGGCTGTGGTGTTAGTCCCTGTGCCAGTGTCGTGGCTCTGGGAGGAAAAGGGCCCCAGATCACATTGATGAACTGCAGAGCTATCTTTGAGCAAGGAGGAAAATTTAAAACTGCTGCAAACAGCAGCTCTGGTCAGGGTGTTGCTGAGCTGAGGACAGGTTCTCGGGGCCTCACTAAAAGTGCCAGGGAAGATGGGAATTACAGAAGGATAACAAGCATGGAAATGTGAAGTAATTTGAGGGGAAATGCTAAAGTGAATTTTCTTGGGCAGATAGCTTTGACAAATTCCCAGACCTTTAAGCTACATGACAGCTTGCAGGGAGAAAGAACTTTGGTTCCCTAAGTTTTAAATTGAATGACCTTAGGTGCTTTTTAGGACTATCACACTCAGTTTGGCAGCAAGCAGTGAAATACCCTCCCTTCAGGCTCAGGCCCAGCTACCTTTTTCTCAGGAAAGCAAAATCAGCATGGCCAACTTTTTCTGCCTTTTCCTATTCCACACAGGAATGCAAAATATACGTGGAAAACAGGGGAGGCCTGTGAAAGCAGGTGACAATATTTAAAATGGGAACTCCTATGGCATCTCTCCAATATAAAATGAGGACAACACTTGAGTAACAGCCTACTCTCATCACAGGCTGCATGTTTTTGGTACATCTTGATAGATTGTTGAAGTGACATATATTTGCTATGAAAAGGTGTCAAAGATGGCCAATACTCCTGACCAGGGGAATTCTCACTGGTTTGGATAAGATACTGTCTGCTTTGACGTGCCCTACCTGTAACTTTCCTGTCTTAAACAAGTCTGCAAGGCGTGAAATCTGGGTTTGCTGAATTCAGAGCCAAGCTTTCACTGATGTCAGTCAAACACAGGCTATCCCCAGGTGACACTTGTGCTCCCATTTGAGTGTTTTCTTTCTGACATAAAATAAGAACAGGGCATTTTATTTTTTCCAAGACAGATACATGATCTGGCAGTTTCCAGCTGATGTAGAATAGGTTACAGTAGTGATACAGCCTATCCATGGAAAGCCTCCTTGCCTGTGCTTTCCTGCAGGGGAGTATTTTGGTGTTTGCTATGTGGCTGAGCTCACTCTTCAGCCTTTCTTTATCAAGGGATTGTGATAACATTCTTTATTCCTTTATTCAGCCACCTTCTTTTCCCCAAAAAGGAAACCTGTAACAAATTAATGTCTTCAAAGTCTGTATTTTGTATTATTTTGTTGACACTGGCTAGCATTCAAACTTTATTGGAATTGACAGCTAATGTAATTGCACAAGCCCTATTTCCTTGGGAAAACAGCCTTCAAAGGACTAGGGCATGCTACAAGAACTCCTCTATCCTTGCAGGGTCCCAAGATTTAGCTTTTAAAACTCCCCTATTGTTATCTAAGCCATTATCACAGCTTCATTCCTGGAATTTGTTAATTATAGAATGTGATTCATCAAATATATTTTAGACATTAGATTAGGATGAAATAAATTGTGTGCTACTGTGTCTGTTTCTCTCCATGGACAGTGAACAGGGTCTGTAGAATTGGATAAAGGAATTTCCTGGGTGCAGTGGAGTCTTCAGACTTTCATTTAGTCAGTGAGACCAACGTGGCCAAAAGTTGTTGGCATGCAATTCATTTCACAGAATCACAGAATCAGTCAGGCTAGAAGGGACCAGTGGGTCAAGCAGGGTCATCCCAGAGCACAGGATTGCATCCAGATGATTCCTGACTATCTCCAGTGAGAGAGACTCCACAGCCTCCCTGGGCAACCTGCTCCAGTGCTTGGTCACTGCCCAGGACCAGAAGTTCTTCCCCATGTTCAGGTGGAGATTCCTGGGCATCAGTTTCTGCCCTTTGCCTCTTGTCTTACTGCAAAGTGGAACAGGCCCAACTCCCTCAGCCTGTCATTGCAGGAGAGTTGCTTCAGACCCTTAAACATTTTTGTAGTTTCTGCTGGACCCTCTCACTTGTACTGAAGAGCCCAGAACCAGACACAGTATCCAGATGTGGCATCACTAGGGGTGAGCAGAGGGGCAGGATCACCTCCCTTGACCTGCTGGCAATGCTTTTCCTAATGCATCCCAGGATATCATTGGCCTTCTTGTCTCCTGGGGCACACTGTAGCTCATGGACAGCTTGTTGTGCCCCAGAACCCCCAGGTCCTTTCTATTTTAGGCTGATTCAGATGCTACACTCTATTGGCTGTATTGATGAAATCCACATATAATCACCCAGGTCACATGAGACATGAACCACGAAGATATCTCGATAAGAGGGACTCCCCTTCAGTCTCAGATTTTCATTACAGCAGAGCTGTGGTCCCTCTGTCACATTATTTGGATGTTATCAGGCCTTGGCAGCATCAGACCTTGTGCCTTAACACTAAAAGCTTTCCTGTGTGAGTAGGAGCAATACCATATGAAATAGGGAGAACTCACATTTTGCAAATCCATTCCCTCTGTGGGCAGTGTTTCAGTTTCATTCTGGGATCATTGATTTGCTGGCTTTGAGCTGTTTTCTTCATCAAGCCCAGAGGATAAGCTTTTTTTGCACTGCATCTTTCTCTCTTCTATGGCTAATGCTAGTTTATTCTCCTTCAAATCTTATGTAAAGCTTTTACAGGAGAATACATCTGTGATATGCTCTTTGGCTGTTTTTTTGGAAAAAATATGAATAAACCAGAATAAACTGGAAGATTGTCAGTGTATTTTGCAGATTATCTGTGTTCCAACTCTACTCACAGGAAAATGCAAAGTCGATTAAAACCCACCAAGTGTAATAAATATGTTTTTTGATTCTGTCAGCATGGCTAAAGATAAAAGCTAATGGCAAATCCATAATACAGTCATACAGATCAAATTATCTATCAATCCATAAGCTTGCATTCATGACAGATAAATGCTCTTATTATCTTCACAGCATGCCCCAGTTAGTCCAGCATGAACTTGGTGAGTTAACTCAGCACTCTGCAGTCAGGGTGTCGGCATGCAGGAAGTTCGTTTGTTACAATAGCATTTTAAAAGCTGAAAGTTCCATTTCTTCAGTCTGTGAACTGTTCCTTTCATTGATTACTGCTCAGTTCAGCCCCTCAGCAGCTCTCAAGTGTGTCCCACTCCTTGTTCCCAGTTGTGACCTCTTCGTGTTCCTCTTCCAAGCCTTCCCCCTCTTCACCTCAGCAGCCTCTTTCTCCCAAGTTGTTTGTGCACTGAGCCTCAAGCAGAAAATATCCTACATTTCCACTCACCTAGGGCTTGAGACAACCACATGGGAAATATATGACAAGAGGCACCACGGTCAGAGAAAACTTGTATATTTTTCAAGATAAATTCAAGAATTTGTGTCAGTTACCAACATGAAACTTTTGTCTGGTTGACTGGTTCAGTGAGTCAGGGGTTTTACGGACTTGAACTACAAGTTCTCTTGTATGAGCAAACTGTTTTGAGCTAGGTCTGTAATCACAAGGAATAAAACACTGTCTAATGCAATGGCCAAATCAAGTACCAGTGAAAGAGGCTCCATTTGTGTCAATCATAGTTATCTTGTTGATGGATCTGTCCCATAGTTAATGTTAAAACCCTTTTTGTTCTCTTCTTCCAGCTATTCAGAATTATTCATTCATCCTGAATGAATATTTTGTGCTTAAACTGAATCTTAGAAGCTTATTTAGAACCACTTAAGATCTTAAATTAAATATGAATGTAATGTGGGGAGGCATAGAAATGAAAGATCCATAATTTTTCAAGTGTAAAATTAAATTCCTCCCTCCTTTCCTCTCTGATTTGATGCATCTAGTACAAAGTATATGGAATTTGAGTAGGTGTACTAAGAAATTCAGAGAGTTCTGATAGATATCTGCATGTGAGAGATACACAACTATTTTAGTTCCACAGAAATACATCAATTGATTAGTTTCTTTTCTGATAGAAGTTGCAGATTTTCTCCATTTACATTTAAAGGCCAACACAACTGGCTTACGATTTTTTTTTCCTATTTTATCTATTGCATCTCAGGACCCACAGGGAAGAAATTAAAAACTCATCATCTGGCCAGCATGGAGGCTCAGAGCTTTGATGGTTTCAGCTGTTAAGCCTGCTGTTCCAAAAAACTCCTTTTTGGCTGCTAGCTCTGCTGCCCAAAGCACGGTGCTGATGTTTGGCTGGAAGCGATACGGAGGTTCCAGACAGGGTTAGCAATTTACAGAATTTCCATCAGCCTAAGCATAGCAGTGAGCATATATGTGCATGCATGCATGTGGGCTTTGTTGCTGTTTTCAGCAGTCAGGAAACAATTACAGGAGAGAATTAGCTGTGCTTCAGTGCAGACTGTGAATCTAAAGTAATGGCATGATCTTCACTGAGGGACCGAGAGTGTCCCAGAAGGATCAGCAAGGATACAGGGAAGTAAACCTACAACACAACCAATTTTCTCTAGGTTACTTCTCTCTTTTGAGCACCTAACCCTTACACCCAGAAATACTTTTTTTTTGTGGAATTATGAACAGCTCCCTCCTTTTCAGCAGCTGAACTGATAAACCAGGTTTTTTATTTCTCCACAATTACAACTCCCTGTATTACAGGGTATAATGCCACCCCTGTATTTCAACAATGAGAAGCTGTGGAGTAAACAAAGTATGGCCTGAATCAATGGAAGAAGAAGTAAAGATCACTTATTTCCCAGTGTCAGCATAAAACTCTCAGAGATCATGAATGTGTAAGAACAATGAAGAGATTAAGAAGCTGCAGGCAATGGGGTATTACCTTCAGTACAGCCCAGTCCATACACAAGAAGAAATGGTTCCTGTTAAAAGACTGATTTAGCTGCAAAAAGCAAACACCATTTAGGTTACCAAAACACTTTCAGGTCTTCATCATCCAAAGCTAATTTGCTTCCCCTCAAAAACCTTCATTGAATACCCATTTTCTCTTTACCAGTGCTGCCTCACTTAAACTAGACAACTATGGCCACAGTGCTAGTCCTTAACAAAGCTATTTGTCCATAGAGATAATTAATTTCTCTGGGGAAATGCAAAGTCAGCAGCAGAAGCAAGAGAAAAGAGCTCTATGATAATAGGTCAAATACTTAAAGTGCCCTGAATACTCATTGTGTTGTCGATGAGAAGGAGCAAACCCCTGACTTTTCTACAAAGATGTCCTTCAGCACTTTTCTATTGTATGACAATCATCTAATTTAAATACTGACTTCCCAAATCTCAGAAAAACTCATGCACATAATATATTTCTTACATATTAAAGCACATGAGATTTTTTATTCTGGTGGTTTTGGGTTCTCAATATTATACACAAAATCCCCTTCCAATTGTTGGAAAGGCTTCAGTCTAGCAGGTAAACCAGCACATTGAAATCTGGTTCCAGTCTCATCTCTGTTTGGCTCATCTCTTTGTACCTATAGAAAATAGAAGGCAATACTGCTTTGTGACCTTGCAGTTGTGTCCTAAGGATTAATGCTTGGAATGTGCTACACGCTCCTGCAGTGAATGGCAGTCAGGTCAGTGGGTACACTCTGTTCTTCTTTGCATGGAGGTAAATTAGGTGTGGCAGCAGAAGTTTGGCCCCATTGGATGAATCCCATGATCTCTGGGCTTTAGACGGATTCATTCATCTGGCACCATGCCTCAGACCTAACTTCAGTGTTGTGACATATCTTGCAAGGAAAGGCATCTTTTGCCTTGTGAGCGAGTATGTTGATAGGTAAAGCAGGAACCAGGGGCCCACTGGTAAAACAGGACATACTCTGGAGGATTTTATCACCTGCTCCCTTCTGAAAGGACTGGTAGAGGAACAATTCAATAGGACATGCGGTGTGGGGTCATCTCTGCTGCTAGTACACAGAGAAAAAAATCACAAGCTAGCCATTTTTCCTGGGCTCTCTCTACTTTCTGGGCACATGAATGTTACTTAGGAAAATCCCATGGGATTTTCAGAGAATCTGGGCTTGGCTGCTGCTCCAAAGTGCTTTCTGGAGAGCCTTTCTAATGGCTGTGGGGAAGAGCAGGGAAGCCAGCTAAAATATGAGGGTGTCAATAACACCTGAGTGTGAATTCCCCTGGGCCAGAGCTGCTGGTTAGACAGACACTGGAGGCTTGGCAGAGTGCTTGGCAGGCTGACTCTGCTTTCTGAAGCCAGGCTTCATCCTACAGCCACGAGCAGGGTGATGCTGGGAACTCCTCCCTGCACTGAAAAGAGACAGCCCAGAGCTCATGTTGCAGCCCACAGTATGCTGGGAGATCTGGGCAACAAGGGAACCCTCTCCCCAAGCAACTTTAGTGTATCATGCCTTGACAAGCACCAGCTAAAACCTCAGCATACACCAGTCAGGCAAGCACCAATTATTTGTATTTATTATTCATGTATTTCATTTTATTTAATAACTGAGCTACAACTATTCATATTACTGTCTCTTTACTCCTGCACTTACACAGACTCAAAGGGCAGATGATAAATACATTTAATATTTCCTCAAATGTAAATGTTTTTGTTTGTTTTTCAATGTTTACTTGCTTGACTGGAGCATTTCACTTGAGCCTCACACCCCAGTTAGTAACAGCAGACTGCAAAGTGGGATTCATGCCTGGGTAAAGGTAATTTGCTTGCTTTACTACACCAAGATAAATACTGGTCTGAAGCACTGTCATGACGTCAATCAGGTCTAAGATTTTAAATTCTGCAAGATTTACAATTCCATCCTAACAGCCTCTCTGCTCCTCCTCACCTTTTCCCCAGCAATAAGACTCATTTAAAGCTTTAAAATATAGGAAGCAGAAAATAAGTCATTAATTTCACTTGCTCAACAGCACTCACAACTTGTAAGGCTTTGACAGCTTCCTTAAACCCAAAGGAATTCGGACAGCTAGGGCAATGAAAGCGTACCATAACTTGTATTGGAAGGACACTTTTCAGGGCTGAACACATACTTTTGTCCTGCAGGAAGCTGACAGTGATGGGAGTATGCAGGATGCTTTACTACTGCATTCACATGATGCTACTTAATTTCCCATCTCATCTTGTTCAGCATATTCCCTTTGTGTTTCTTAAATCAATAGAACTGCAGTGAGCCAGCAGATTTTTTCAATATTTTGTAGGATGCTCTGCCCTTACCACCATATTTAATATCTATTGTTTCTGGTAAGACAAATAAACTCCTTAAATGTTATATTTGCTACTTAGAAGGAAGTTGACTGTGCATTTTGGGGGATAAGAAATTCAATTGCAGAAAGCTAAACTTATATGTGTGGAGCTGAATGCTTTTGGAAACAAATTCTGTGGGCTTTCATATTTGTATCACTGTCATGATTTTGGACGGAAAATTGAAAACTTGTGATGAATGTATAATAGGCCATTGCATTTTCATCTGAGACAGAAGGAACATGCTCACTTCTTCAGAAGGGAAGACAGATGAAGGCAGGCAAGCTGCAGAATAAAACAAGAATTAAGTGATAGCCTCTTGATGATTATTGTTCTGCTATCTGTCCATTATCTGTCTGAGTGTAGGTAGCAAACACCACATGAATTTAAATAAAACCCATTACTCACACTCACTTACAGACGTGATGATAGGAGTTGCTTGACAGGTCTTACACGGGAAACTCGGATGTAATTGAGCCCGTTGCTCTGTTGATTCTCCTCCAGCAAAATTCTCTACCTGTGCAGGAATATTTTAAGACCTCACTAAATTTGACAGAGTGTTAAGGTTTTTTGCTTATTTGTGTTTTGTATCATTATTGGGTCTCTACAATAACAGATGGTGAAATCTCCTGAGTAAGCCAAATGCCAGTGATTTTCCTTACAGGATGTCATGCACAAACACTAACAGCTCGGTTCCTATTAGCACTAGAAACCGATGGGCCAGCTTCAGCACCTTTTAAAGTTCCTGGGTGTCTTTGGATCAGCTCCATGACACAGCTGAATGAGGCAGACAATCTGCTTTAAACTCCTTTATTATTCCCAGAGTTTCTGCTGAATATCCTATCAGGCTAAAAATCTCTCTTAAAGAGCACTTTCTTTCTAGAATATTCAGGTTCTTTTAGAGATAAGTAAAATCAGGGCAGTGTGCAAGTAAACTTAAAACACCCATTTGTTTTTCCTTCTTGCATCAGGGATTTCTCACTTCTGAGATGAGCACTGCTGGTGGTTTGTGTTTGCTGGCAGCAAACACTTTTACAATTGCACTTGGCATTGGTGACAACCAGCTTGGCCAGGCTTGTCTTTCCTTGGTCTTTTCCCTGTGTCTCTTGCTGTGCCATATTGAAGGAATATTGCTTAATGGCTATAATGGGATATTTACATCTATTTCATTCTCCTAGAGCTGTCCTAATTGACTCTTTTCTCTCATCATGATTAATTTATTTTCTGCTGATCATGAAATCTCAATACAATTCATAGTTCTCTCTCAATTGTGATGGTAGGGACATTTCTCCATCCCTGTAAGTCTCATACTCCCCACTGGAGATATGAAACATGTTGGGGTCCTTTCACCACATTCATGGGCTTTGAGAGTAAGTTTGGATACATTTATAAAGTCCATAAATTAAATTGTCTTCTATTTATATCTAATTGCATTTCATGTTAAAATTCTTATTTTCAAGTACACATGTCTATTTATGATCACTTTTTAAATTAAGTTTCCATTTGAATGAACTGTTGGTGGTCCCCTAAAAAAGAGGGGTTTGCTTTGTTGGTTCTCTGATCTGAACAGGGGACCAGTTCAGAATCTTTTCATTGTACTTAAAGAGAAAAGGGGAGAAGTGCTTCCTTCCTGGTTCCTCTGAGGAGACAACTGAATTCCTGACAAATTCTGTATTTTAAGCCATGTGTAAGTTTAAGCAGGGGTCTTAAGAGGTGCCATGCTCACTGCATTAGGCTTCCTACACATGCCAAGAGGGAGTCCTTCCCTCTTTATCTCTGGGACTGTCTGTTGGACAACAGTCAATAGCTGATAATGGACACTGAGTGACACAGCAGCAATAGGGACAGGACTTCTGTCAACTTGGTACAACCCTAGTTATGGACAGATGTTTGTGGGTCTGGGCTTTCATTACTCTAGGCCCTCTTGTTTTTCAGAGAGGTAAGTCCTGAGCTTATCTACTTTGGCATTTTCCATGAGAGAGGTAGCAGAGACAGAGGAAAGAAGGCAATTCTTATGAAATATCTTCAAGGAGAGTTAATTTCTTTTGACTGATGTCTGTGGAGTTTCCATATTTATTTGGAAGGAAATCATGCTCAGCAATTGTCATTACCTCCCAGAGAAGTGCTGCATTCATTTGAAGGTATATTTGACACATATCGTGCCAAAGCTCACGGTCTCTCAGACATGACATGTGACAGCTGAAATTATTTGACATGCTCCAGTTAAAGGAATTGAGAACCAAATTCCCAGGGGCTGTGGACAGTTTTTGTACATAAATCTCTCTTTGAGTATAAAGAAGATTTTTCAAAAGCATTCAAAATCAGTTTTTCCTGCTCTCATAGAGTTAATTCTGGATTCTTTTGATCACCAAGGCAGTTCTTCATATATCTGAGCCAGTTTGGCTGAAATAATCCCAGCAAATAGGATGGGTCATGGACCACTCTGATCTGGATACCATCTGACACAGCTGTACTGTGCTGTTACAGCAAAAATCTCCAGAACTGGGAGGTTCCATCCCACAGATCTGATGTGGCTAAGATGCTGGGGCTAAGATGGTCTCCAGCCTCTGCCCAGGAGCTGTCTTGGGAGAGTTATATTGGTTAAAACTCTGTGGCTGGAGACTGTTTCAGACATTACATGATACAGTGATTTTCTGGTTCAGTTCAAGAGCTGTATCTGCAATCTTTGAGCTTCTCTGCCATCTGTACAGATGATCAGAACTCTGCACAGTCCTTGACATGAGGAGCTGCACCCTCGTGAGTATGTCTGGTCTCATAAGTGAAACCTCTGTGGGACCATTCTGAGGCAATGAGACCAACAGGCTCCGGTGGTGGGCACTCATCCAGCTGGCCTCTGCCAGCCTCTGATAAAGGGGCCCACCTTGTAAATGTATCTGGTGAACAGTTTCCACTATGTGCTAAGTCCCCACACACACATCAATGAATTATTCAGAACAATGTCACATCCCAAAAGAACTCCAGGGACCATTCAAGCAATTTCTCAGTATGGGCAATCAGGATTATATTGTCAATGTCTTTTCACTGGCACTGTTTAGCTCATTAGTAATACAAAAAGACAGTCCTCACCACTTCTGCTAGAGAAATCTTCCCTGATGCATCCTAGCACTCAATTTGCTTTGCTAATAGCTGCATCAAGATTGTCCCTGGGCACCATCCCCAGGCTGAGAAAACTCATGTGCCTCTTCCAAGTGCTAACTGAATTCCTCATACTTTGCTCAAGTTGAAAGCTCCCTAGTTAGTGAATACAGCTTCCAGAGTACAGACAGAAAAGGTGTTTTCTGCAGGTGGAAGGTAGTGTTGCTGCCATTGCACAGGATATAATTTGAAACTTGTGCATTATGGTGAAAATAATATTTGAAGTAGATATAGGTATAGAGAAGGACTACTACAAAACACTGATGAGTTTGTTTTAGGGGACTGTTTGTTTAGGAAACTGATGAGCCTGTTTTAGGGGAGAACAGTGTGGCTTCACATGTTTAGCTCAGTGAAAGGAAAGCTGACGTTTTTGACAGCTATCCATAGACACCTCAGGGTGTCTGAGTACTCAAAAGGGAGGAGAGTAAAAGACATTTCTGGAATTAGAACAAATGACTGTAACCTAGTCCTGAATAAACAGACAGTGGAAATGATACAGAAGTTTCTAAACAGCAGAGGAATGAAGTTTTGGAAAAGCTTTCTGACTGCAGGAGCAAGAGTCAAAAAAGCAAAATTTAAGAGGGAGCTAAAGATTTCCAAAGAAGAGGTTATGTGACCTGATGGTTCATGACAGCAAGAACTGAACTCAGTGGCCAAAGTGATCCCATCAGGTCCTGTCTCTGATGATCTGAAAAGTATTTAAGAAGACCATGTCCCATTGATCTGCAATGACAGAGAAGGTGGAGACTGAGTCTCAATCTCTGCAGATCTAAATGCAACATGATACCTTTGAGAAACAGTCCCTCCATTCCACATAACAGCAAAAGAACCCAGGAATGGCTTCTGTGAAGACAGCAAGTTGATTTACTACAGTTGTGAAGGAATGGACTCAAAGAGTTATTTTTCCTAAATGGTAGTATCTTTTTTTTTCCCTGGATATGCCATAAACTTGAGAAATAAATTGGCAGATATCTAGATACAAATTTTAAGTCAATGATATACTGAAATGCAAGAGCTTTTGTATCCAAATGGCTGTTTCATGCCCTAAATTCTCTGAGTTGTGCTTAATTCTGGCAGCACATAAGGCATGTAAAAACCACCCACTCACTACTTCAGAGCCATTTTTCTTCATCTAAATGAAATTTCTTTAGTTCCATTCATCTTTACAGCTCATTCAACAGGTCCCTCTGCAGCAGTGAAGGGAAGCATGTTTCAATGTGCTAATCCAGCTCAGAGATGGATTAATTGACTCACATGCCCCTCTGATCACTAGCCAGATGTCTCTCCCCAGCTGGCAAGCCTTACTAATTTTCTTGTTGTTGATGTCGTTGTTAATTCTGGGTTTCCAGCCAGCGGGGGGCTCAATCAAGGGCAACATGCCCTCTGCAGACATTTTGTATTCTTTGGTCTGCTTTCCCTTGGGCAAAGACATTCAGCTGTGAACCTCCTTCCCTGGCTCTTTGTCATCTGGCCTGTGGCCCCTGGAGAGAGCTCTCCTGGTGCAGTTGCACTTGTGTATCCGGCACTTTGGGCCACCACAGGGCTGTGCTGGGAATATTCAAGGTGGATGAAGGAGGCCCAGAGGGCTAATTCCAAGTGACCCAAAATTTCAGGTCTGTGCAGTGAATTTTTTGGGGGGAAATAAAAAGGCTAATAACAGGAGTTAGAAATGTTTCCTTCATCAGGCTGCTAAATGAAATTTCTGTGAAATGATGAGAGAAAAGTCAAGAATACTTGAGGGGACTGTGCATGACTAGACTACTTTGGACACTAAATTTGGAAGCAATGTAACATAAAGAGTGGTTTGAAGATGGGATGTATGTGTGCTCCAGGATCTACTCCTTATTCTTATTCTGCCATTGCCCTGATGTCTTGGGAAAGACACTTCACTACTCTGGTACTTCCTAATGCCTAGGAGAGTTTGGGGTATTTTTTAGGTACTTGCAAGGCAGTGTGAGAATTAAATATAATTTGCATCACTGAATATACAGCCATGTATTTTCAGCATGAAGGCTTCTGCCATGACTTGCAGTGATTTGGCTAAAACCATGATGTAGTCACATAGAAAGGTGTCAATTTTGGCCAGACTGTAGAACATTGTTTCCTCTTATCCCATTGCTTTTCTTGGGTCATCACTGTGATCACATTGATCCTTCCCAAAAGTAGTTCAACAGGATAGAAAAGAAAAGCAAACACTTCTTTTTTCTTTTTTTCATTAGAAAAGTTGCAAAATATTGTTTCATGACAAGGTCACAGGAACACAGTTTGAGAAGAGAGAAGTATGAAGTTTGTCTAAGATGTGAACATTAAGAATTCTGCTGCGTTTCTATGGACCCAGCACTTACTACTCCAACTAAAAATGTGGATGAGCTAATTTCTTCATCATCTGAGCAGTTGCTTACAGTTCATAGGTATGTAAATAAGAAGAAAAACTCTTATAATTTAGCATCTTTGGTCTTTTTTAGTTTAGGTACGTGCCTTGTATAAATCTCTTTCCACAACCACAAATTTCTTCCCACATCAGGCATAGCCCCAGGGAAGTTGTTTTACAGGGAAATAAAGACTTCGACCTTTGATCACTGTAACCTGGCTTCTCACAATCCTGAAAACAAGTTTCTAAAAAATTGAAATGTGAACAACACACACCATCAATATCAATTACTACATTGTTAGGTGGTAAATTTTCCCCACAGGGGGTGAGCAATTCACTTGATGTATTTGGCAAAGGGTTTGATTCTCCTCCCCACTGGCAGCGATGTGGTGCTGACAATCTCTCTGTTCTTTGATGGGGAGCAGAGTAAGGGAGAGCAGAGTCAGACTCAAAGCTCTGCGAGCACAGAGAAAAGCGGGCTCTGTCAAGAGAGGATTTATGCAGTCTGAACAGTGAGCTGCAATCTTTGAAGAAAAGACTTCAAAGAGGAAAGGAGAAAAGAAACAATGTCTAATCTTCATACAAATGTGCTCAGAGGTCTCTGAAATTCAGAAACTTCTAAAATCTAAGAATTAATTATCACTTGCCAGAGGGAAGCTTTATTCACAGGTAACAGTTATAGCAATCTGAGTTCTCTAGGTGTAAAACTCATGGCGTTATATTGAACTGACTAAAGCTCAGTAAATCACCCTCCTTCCTGTCAGTGTACTTGCACACTTTCCAAGTGTTTGATGTTACCCTTCACATTGTTTGTGTGGCACGTGACCGCAGCTCCTAAAATTTTGTCTTTGAAAGGAGATGTATTTTTGGTATAAGAACTGTGACTCACAGGTTTACATTAAAACATGCAACAAAGTGATGCAGCTCCTCAGCTCCTGTAGAGCAATGCAGCAGCCCTGTTGGCTTCTGTTTACTGCAGCAAAAGACAAGACTCTTAAGTCATTTTTCAGCTCCACAGCTGCATAAATAACCAGGAGGACTGGGGGTGACTAAGAGCAAAGCACTACTGTAACAATTCCTCTTAGCAGAATGGGGTGTTTAAAGTGACCCTCAGGCCAGGTATCCAGAATATCTCAGCACCTCACAGACTCATATTTGTTCTTATAACACCCTTTTGTATAAGCACTCCCCATATTCATTTTACACTTGAAGTCTGAAAGCTGAGGAGGTGGTAAGGCACATGGTTGCAGGGGAAATTAGTGGTGAAAGGAAGCATTTAAATATCTGGAGAACTGAGTTGCATGATGGTGTTACTGTGCTCAAGAAAGTGAATGATTTATGGTGGATGTCTGACAAGAATTATACTCAGTCATACACGTACCATGGTAATGTGTAGTTTAAATCCTGTGTTTACTGAAGCTGAGGGTGTGAACCCAGCTGGCTGGTGTGGCTCAGCTGCTGCACAGAAACACATTAAACTGCAATAACTTGATTGTGCATCCCAGCCCTCTCTTTTTAAAAGCTCTGTCTTTCATCTTTAAGACCTCAATGAAAACAGCTGTTGCAGAAGCTCACGAGAGAGCTGTACCACAGCAGGGAAACAGCTCCTTGACATGAGCAAGAGGGTCTTCAGGCCCAGAGCAGCTATTTTTGGTAAACAACTAAAAACTCGCCTCTCGTAAAATGTCAGTAAGCCAAGGCACCTGTACTGACAGGAATTGGAAGACTGAGACCATGTCCAACGCAGCTACTTTGAAATAACAAAACCCTCTGGCAGGATTGGAATTGCTTCATTTTATGTTTACATCCATATGGCATTTGAGGTTAAATAGAACTTGTCTTGATATTTGCCCACCAGCAGTCAGGAGGCATCTGTGACTGTTGTCTCCCTGTGCATATGAATATTTTGCATCCCAATAATAGGTAGACCCAACCATTATGCACCACCAGCATTGCCAGAGGTGGCCAAAATCTGAATAGACAATGCAGTTTGTGACATGGTTTAGTGGGCGTGGTGGCCTTGGGTCAAAGGTTGGACTTGATGGTCTTGGAGACCTTTTCCAGCCTTAATGAGCCTATGATTCTGTGATCTGCTGCTGCTTGGGAGTCACTGGCCATCCCAGAAGAGCCAAATAACACAGGGGCACTGCATTATCCCAAGTTAGCATCCAAAAGGATGCAAAGGACAGAGTTTGGTGTTGCATTACAGACCGGGCTGTGGGTGTTTGTTTTCAAAGGAAATTTACTTCTGTGAACAATCAGAAAAATCCCAGGCAGTCTCCTCTCTGACTGTGGCAGCTCCCAAGACAACAAAACCAAGGGTAATTGGTGCTGCCTCTCCCTCCAAATGGGAAATGTTGATAGATACTTCAAGTATTTGTTTAACTGTGGATAGTTGACACAGCTTGTGAGAAATTATTCTGGGAGGAAAGGAAACCTCCCAAACTCCTCCACTTCCTCTGACCCTGGCTCCTCTGGGCTCCTGCTGGGTGCTCTGAACCAACCCCCAGGGATGTGCCTGCAGGGTCCCCAGCTCTTCCCGGGGCTGGCGCTGTCCTGCCGGAGCCGGGATCCATGCTCCAGGCACCTCAGGTGGGGTAAACCAGGGAAACTCCGGCCCTGAGCGAGTTCCATCCAAAACAATCTGGTACCGAGCTAGTTTTGCCCACTGGGAATATCTGCTGTGTTTGTGGGAAGAGTTTTGGTGTCACTTATCACATGCTCGTTATAATGCATTGCCTGAGGCATAATTAAATTCAAAGGGCACGTCTGTGTTGAAAGGGAGGGTTGCAATTTGTTGCTGTTAGGATTTTTCATTAAAAACCAAGCAGTTTTTCTGACTGGCAGGCACATTGGTTGCAGAGCAAAATTGCTATTAAATAAGGAGAAGGCAAAGGCTTTTCTGTTTTCTTGCTTTTTTTTTTTTTTTTTTTTTTTTTTATTAATTACCTGCCTGACATCTCCACACTGACTTTGAATAAAGTGTAGCATTTAAAAATAGTGGGATTATAGAAGACAAGGCAGAGAAAAGAAGAGCCTTGACATTAAGAAAGGTCTGGCAGGTGATGCGTATATTATATATACCAGATTATATGTGTATATCTATCAATACACACAAATATCTTTATCTATAGGTGTGTGTGTGTATGTGTTTTATCTCCAGAGGAGAAATTTGCCTTTGCTGCTGAAATTTTCCTGAAAGCTCAGTTAATTAGTTCTCATAATACCCATGGAGGCAGACGTTAGTATCATCCTTATCCACAGATGAGGAGATAGGAAGAAGCACAGAGAGAAGGATGCACAGAGAGATTAAAGGATTTCTGCTACAGTGAATTCAGTGTAGAGCTGGGAATTCAGTCCAGCAGGCAAAATCCTAACCCTATTAAAAGCAATGGGAGACTAACTTATGAGAAGCCTGGATTTGGCAATTTTTGCTTGCTTTGTTCAAACCTCTCTGATCTATTCACAGCTACGTGTGTCCTGATGATGCATTCAGAAGAAAACTACACCTGTGGATGTGTACAGCTCCTGGTCAAATCTCAGCTGAGTCCCTCAGTCTCAGAGCTTCAAAATGGGGGCTGACTGTTTCTTTGAGGGACTCTGTGCCATACATTTACATATATCTTAAAAATAGTCTGGAGTGATAAGTGAAGTAATTTAAGATCTTTCTAAATAGAATACTATTTTCTCTCAGGCCACCAGGGTCACAGAACTGAAATTTTACATCCTTAGTTGTTATATTCCACCTCACAGTGCTATCAAAAAATGACTGGAGGGTTTCAGCTAAACAGATGAGCTACTTTTAAATTAGATTGGGTAAAACAAGCTCATTAAATAAAAAAAAATAATAATGTCCTCATTTTATAATGGCTTTGTTGCCTTCTTGCTTATATACTTGTTCCAGGGCAATATTTTTGTGTTATTAGGGTGTTTTCAGCTCTTATTTTTAAGCTCACTTCATTAATGTTGGCAGAACACTTTGAAGTAGAAAATGTGAGTGCTAAGTGGTATCACTGACACACTTTCAAGGCAAAGCTTTTGCCTTCCCAGAGGTCATCTGAAGCAATTTTGTCACACCTGCAAATGTGCACAAATTGGTGCTGGCAGTAGAGGGACAAATTTCCCCCCAAAACTGCTGCAGCAGCTGTAAGCTGGCTGCAAGTGCCTGGAAGAGGATTCCTCTTTCCAGCAGGATGCTGGGCTCTGCCAGCCTTGCTGTGAGGAGTCTGGCAGTGAAGCAGCTGTGGGGCAGAGCTCCACTGTCTGATACTTATGTGCTGGATCAAAAATTCCCTAAACTCATCTGGAAGTCTCCCAACGGCTCCTCCAGTGCTGGGCACCAAATCACCAATTTCCTTTTCCTCAAAAAGACTGTAATGGAACGAGGGGTGTTGGAAGGAGCACAGAGTGTGCTGGGTTGATGTGGGAAAGGCTGCTGTGGTGGGCAGAAGAGGGACCTGCTGCAGCATCTTTGAACGTGGGGACATTTCATAGCATCACAGAAAGACTTTGGTTGAAATGTGCTTTAAAGCTCATCTGGTTCCAGTGTCCTGCCATGGAAAATGACACCTTTCACTGGGCCAGGTTCAAAACCCCATCCAACTTTGCCTTGAACCCTTCCAGGGATGGGGTGTCCACAGATTCTCTGGGCAACCTGTGCCAGGTCTCACCACCCTCAAGAAAAGAATTCCTCCCTAGCATCTAACATCTGTATCTTGGGGCTTTTCCACTGATCAGAGGTTTGCCAGGGGTGCAGTGCTGTTGAATACCAGGATTTACTGCAGGAGCATCCCAGGGCTTACCCGTGAAGAGTGGTATCTACAGAGTCCTATGGCATGTTTGAGAAGTCTGGTCAAAGTTAATTTTGAAAATCACTGAAACCATATCCTGGCTACCTGTATCCCTTCCCCACCACCCCCTGGAGTGTGGGATCACAGGAGGGATCCTGTTGGCCATACCTGTTGGGTATGGTTTGGACACACAGGGTGCTGCTGGCAGTGTGACGTGGGAAGCTGTCCTGGCACTGTATGGCAGCCTTCTCTCTAAAATGCAATAGCACAGCTGCCCTGCTTGCCTGTGTCTCTGATTTATTACCTTGTCATATTTCAAAAGCTAAAGCAGGTTGAACCTGGTCAATGTTTAGATGGAAAGGTCTCCAAGGAAAACACAAGAGCTAGAGAAAATGTTCCCTGAGTCAGTCAAGGCAATAACCCAGGGTGGTGTTAAGGATGTTGCTTTCGGTCTGATTGCAAAATCAATGTATGGGCCACAAGTGGTCTGTGGGGATGGACTGTAATACCCAACATGGCTGGGCAATAACTGGCTGGTCTTTCTTTTCCTACAGGGGCCAACTCTACAGCGGGTGTAAATTGGATGAAATGAAGATGATGAATCTGGCTGGTTGCTTTCTCTGTTTTGTCTCATTACCTGGATTTAGAGGTTTGGTTGTTTTTCTTTGTCATCTTCCTTTGTATGTTTCATAATTCCTTAAATGGCGTGGAATGACACAAAATACAAACCTTTTAGCAATTTTCTTTCCCTAATAAATTTCCCAACTTCTGGAAATTCACAACTTAATGGGGTCCTCTTTAAGGTTTGTTTTTTGGTTTTTTTCTGCCTAAAATTATTGTTATGTGGATTTTAATTTTCCCTCATCACCCTCACAGAATTTTCTGATGTCTCAGGCTGCTCACCACTGTCTTCAAGATTGGATCCATTATCTACCAAGTTCTTATACTGAGCATCTCTTCTGTGTCTGGCCCTCAAAGAAAGCCAGCCACATCTCTTACTATTACCTCTGCAGATGTTGTGTTTCAGATACTGAACTCTGTCTGCCACAGTTCTGAGACATTTGTGCATTTTTCCACATTCAGCACGCAGCTTTTTTGAAATGGTGCCAGTCAAGGAACATAGACAATTTTCTTCTGTGAGGCAAGGTGCATTTAATAGAAGTCACAATCCCTTTTGTAAAAACTATATTAAAAGAGCACTGATCTGAATTGAAAGGGATAATGAAAATTAGCACTTTCATCCATGCACCAGTTTGGCTTCTTGTGTTTTTAAACAAATACCCGTTCTTCACCTATCCTCCACTTGTAGCACAAAAAGAAATATTTTTCCATGACATGATGGAATTCAGATTTAAAAGCTGTGTTTTCATCTCCTAATTCTTTTTTTTTTCTGGTTTAACAAACTGCAGATTTGAAGTATGAAAGGTGCTAAATGATCTCATACTAAAAACTGCAAAGCAAATAGAGCATCTCTACCCACACTGTTATTTTAGGTGGGCATTTGAGAAATGAACGACCAGACAGTTTTGAGGATGGCAAGGTGTTTAAGACCCATTATGCAAAGACTCTGTGACTGTAGTAATTAGCTGTGGCCCTCCACTGGGAAAACAGAGCCTTGATAAGCACACTACAAAACCCCTGTCAGGAGTACAAGTGCTTTGAAGAGAACATTGAAAGGAATTTTGCTTCAGAATATTAGAAAGTGTGTAATGTGAGATTTCTCAAAGGAGAGGATTATGCTTTATTTGGGCTTTTCTATACAGATTGAGGAACAGAATGTGAGAAAACTTCACAACTTATTTAGGAACACAGATATTTGCAGGCTGGACTGCACCCAAGTCCAATCTAGCCCAGCATCTTGTGTCAGATACTGGCCAGCACCAGATGATGCAGGAGGAGGTACAAGAGCATCTGAACAGGTCATGTTTCCACAGTGGGGAAAACATCTCCCTAATTTCCAGTTATTGCTGCTGCTGTTATGTGTAGATGTATTTCCTTTCTACAGCACAAAAATGAAACAGAAATGTCTGTTTCAGACTCTAGATATCATTGCCCAAAACGTTGATTGCTTCCTCCCAGTCATACACTGAATAACTATAACGAAGCCGAAAAACCTGACTCCCACCCCTGCATTCAGTAATTCCAGTACATATTTCCAGTAGAGATCCCCACAGTCTGGGATGTGGCATGGAAATGATCACTCTCCTCTGGCCATGCAGCTGTCAAGACAAACGGGAATCTACCCTGTGGGTTTGAATGAGCTGCAGGAGTTTTTCAGCAGATCAGCACTGACACCCCCCAGCCCTCACAAAGGGGATGAAGAGGAGCTGTGGGCCAGGCTGGGACCCTGCTGGTGGGGCTCTTACTGGTACTGCCTGCCTTACAGATACTCTACTGCCTGGTAATGGGCAAGCTGCTTCTCATCCCTGGGCTGTCTCTACAGAGCAGAGATACTGACATTTCCCTTCTTTGAAAAGCAGTATGATTGACATCTGTGGCTAAAAAATAACTGTGGAATGTAACAGAAGAGATTGTTTCTTAGGACTATCAGCTCCACCACTGAAACTTCTTAAAACCACCCACAAAACTCTCTGTAGACAGAGAAAAACACATTCACCTCCATGCAAAGCTGTTCCTTCTGTTCCTCTTTCAGAATTAAGCTGAGCCTTTAACTTTTAATTTTGCACTTTGGCTTTTTTTGTTGTCTTTATTACTATTATTGAAAACACACAACGTAAACTTAAGTGTGGTCAGATCCCTCACTGAGCTGCAGTGGAGGAAGGGCATTTGTACTGGAAATTAATATGGCTGGCATGTCTGCCTTGGTTTTGAGGATAGTGTTTTCATGTTCTTTTCCTTTCTTCCCCAGCTTTCTTCTCTTTTGTATCTGCCTGCCTCTTTCCCGTTTCTTTCACAGCCGCTATTTTTGCTCCAAGCAAAGAACTCAGTCATGCTCTCACTCTTTCATGGGCTCTGTATACACTTGAGGTCAGGCTAGCAAACCTTACTGGAGCCAAACTTTGCACCCTTCCCTTGCCCTTTTCATAGCCTCTGCCTCATCACAGTTTTGTGTCCCCAGGTTTCCCCGTGCTCCCGAGGGCAGCAGTCCCTCACTGCTGGCACACCTGCCTGTGTTTGCCTGGGTGCTCTCATGGCTTCAGTGCAGAGCTCCTGTTGGACACTGGGCCCATCACTCATCTCTCCTCTGACGTATTTTATCTGCTTCAGCCACGATTTTCAGGGAAAGGGACAGTCTGTTACTCTTTGTCATTACCCACTGTAGCACAACACAGCTCCCTCGAGGTTCAAGGACCATATGCTTCTTTAAAAGACACAATCTCTTTGAAATGCCCCCACATTCCCCTGAACTCACTTCAGCTTCATGTCCCTTCTTCTCTCTGTTGTTCTTCTAACAATGTCTTCCTTCCCAGCACTGTGGTCCTCCTTCCTTTTCCCCACGCTCCTCTTGCCCCCCTCCAGGGCAGAGCTGCCAAGCCTTGGGCAGGTCCTGGGTTGGGGATGGGACCAGGGGACACCCAGGATCTGCCTGGAAAGTTGAGCCACTCTGTCTCCTCTCCCTTATGAGGGAGCAGGGATTTCAGGGAGCCTGAACCTCAGTGTGCAGGGAACTAAACAGAAAGAAGAGGCAGAGCTGTATGAACTCATCAGAGGGGACATGGCTTGTAGAAAAGGCTGTATGTGCAACCTTGCTGAGAGGAGTGTTCAACATTTGATTTGCAGAGCCTCATTCCTTGGAGGCCTGCAGTAATTTTGCTCACTTTCACTGCCTTCCATTTTCTCATATCTGCCCTAATCTGTGTGTTTCACTGTATATGGTTTTGTCCAGTTGTGTTCAACCTTCTTCCTACCATTCCCATCAGTGTGGCCTATGGGCTGCTTCATTTTGACCAGTGTTCCTAAAGTTCCTTGGGAGGGGTGCTCTAGTCAGGCAACAATTAATTCCTGTATCTGTAATCTGTTTATCTTCTTCTATAGAGTCTTACAACAAGCCTCAGGAGAGGGATATAAATGATGAATGCAGGTTAATAACACGGGAGTCTGTGGAAAATTGCATTAAAATGGCACAGCAATAACAGATATAAAAACAACTGGAGCATGTGGTGAAGTCCCTCCTATATCAAAATATTTCCACTGGTAGTATACATTGTAGTTTGTGCTAAAAAATCTGAAATGTTAAAGTGATAAAAAATTGATACCTCCAAACTTCTAGTGAGAAGAAAGAAGGTTAGATAAATGATTCTCAGTTGTTAAAATAGGTGAAAAAAATAAGCAAAATGAATGAACTTAATCCTATTTAATTTTAATCATTCAAAGGCCTGGAGTCTAGCCATGTGTATCAACAGAGCTTCCTCTCTCATCAGTGCAGAGAGGCAGAGACCCCAAGGGAGACAGGTTCATCCCAACCCAGAAAAAAATACATAAAAAGCAGGGACACTGGCTCTCCCCTAACAGGAGGAGATTAATTCATCTGGTTTTGCATAGGCAGGATGTCTAATCCATCCAAGAGCTACACTTGGGAGCTTCTTCCTTCCCAAAGCCATTTTTTAAAAATGGCCTCAGGTCACTACAGCCAGACTAAGATTAGCAGAACTATTTGTAGTTTCTGGTGTTCCAGAAAGGAGGTAAGAACATTTCTATTTGCTTAATAACACAGAGGCAGCTCATGGATTTCACCAGTTGCACTGGAAACTCTCTGCCAGGCGTGAGGTGTTGAAAGCTGAGCTAGACACTGATCAGGATGCTCAACAGCCTGTATATCATCTTTGTGAACATTTTGTGTGCCTGCATGAGCTGAGGGGAAGCTACCTGTGTGAGCTGATATCACAGAGGGGTTTCAGGAGACCTGCCGCAAATCTTCAGTCAGGCTAACACACTGGTGGAGTTTTACCCTCTCATGACAGTTCATCATTCTGCTTTAAAAGGTTGGAAAAAGCTGTCAAGAAGTGACGTGGGAAGCCGTCACACCAATGTGGAAAGGGAAATCTGCTTCATTTTTTTCCAGTAATAAACAGAATGGGAACTGAACACCATCTTGGGGCCACCAACTGGACAGATGGGTAGGACATCCCACCCAGCAATCCCAAAGCAGACATATTCTGAGTCAGGACACAGGCATTGTGCAGATGCCTGCATCACAGGATGATGGGAAAAGGATGGGAGTTACCTGCTGAACTAAGAGCACAGGTAGGGTGTGTCATCATAGTGAGATATGTTTCCTGCTAATACACTTCAGCATAAATAGTGCTGATGCTGGTTTTTGAAATGATAAGGGGAATTGGGTAAATCCTTTGGCTGGAGGTGCATTTCTAGGGAGCAAAGAGTGAAAAATCCCACTTCAATAGGATAATGTAGAAGAAAGTACTGCAGATAAACATTTAGGGGAAGAAAAACTTAATCCACATAGTTGTCTGTTCTTCCAAAGCATAAGCCAGAAATCTGTCTGAAATATTTTTCAGTGTGTGTGTTCTGGTAGCTCAAAGTCTGCTTCTAAGGTAAGGATTTTTTAATTTTTTTTTTAAATGCTATTTCCCAATAACAGTAAAATTTCAGTTTTCAGCCTGTGGTCTCTGATTCTTCATGGGTCCAGGATTAACTTCCTGATATCTATGCTTTTCTACTTTTTGAGAAACACAACCCTAATGATATTATATTTTCAGCAGAATCTGCATCCACAGGGTGAAATAGGAAAAGTTTAGCAATAAGGAATGAAAACCACTGGTACAAAGGGGTTCTTTTTGAACTCAACATGAGAAAATTGATAAAAGTTCCTCTGGACATTTTTTTTTAAATGGAAACACCTTGATTAATGGAATATCACCTGCTCCTGTGTAAGGAAAGATTGAAATGCAGAGAAGGTAGGTGGTGATAATCATTGGTAGTGTCAACAATGACACTGTCATTGTCCAGAGAAAGTAGTGAGGAAAGTGTTGAACTGGACTCAGACTGCTATTTTTATTGCAGAAAATATAAATGTAGCATTGAACTCTGCAAGTTCCCAGCAGGCTGTTCTTAGATAATCATGGTATCTATTTTAGTAAAATGCAGATTTTGGGGCTATTTTTTTTATACAGCAGGATGGTTGGTCTGTAGAACAAATGTTGCTGGATTTGCCACAGCAATCTTCCAGACACAACATCACCAGTGAAGAGGTGAAAATATGAGCACATTAAAGATATTAATGATTCCAACTGATCCAAGATGAGCCTGCAAAGTGCATTTTCTTTTACCTATCTTGAGTTCTCTCAGTGGAATAACAGTCTGTGAGGTAAAAATAGTTCACAAAGAGAGAAAATGCTTTCTCCTCAGTGTTGTCTCTGTTCCTCACTTCCTACATGTTGAGATGAAGTTTGCTTCTGTGACAAGTGTGTGTTGAATATCCAATGGAGAATTAGCAGGTGGAACAGAGATCAAAGTCCTACCCTGCTTAATACCTGCAGCATTTCTCAGCTCTCAGAACCAAACCAAACCATAGAAGAAAATCATCCAGGAAATAGACTGTCAAATGACCAGATAAAACCCACTATCAACAGGAACAAGGCAAAATCCACATTTTTGAGTGAATCATGTAGAGGGTTGTTGAAATCATGGAGCTCAGATGTATGATACCAGCTACAGATAAACCTGTATGAAATTACAGTCTTTGCTGTCATCTTAATAAACTTTAGCTGCTTATTCATCTGTATTTGTGGAAAACATGCCCTTAACTCTTTCTATTTGTTATGCTAGCCTCATTTTATAAAGACAGTAGCATCTTTAATATTCTCCTAGGGCTGTTTTGCTTGACTATGACATATTTATTTGTCAGAGACAGATGTCCAGAATTATGAAACGTCTAGCCTAATTCACAATTTTTTTTTTAACACAATGTGACATTAGGAACCAAATAGTTTTTAGACGTGAGTTTTGTACCTCTAGTCATCCACTGACAGTTGGGATTTATTTTAAAAAATATGTTAACTCTGGGCTAGAACAGTTTAAGAACAGTTTGGACCTAGTAATACATGAGTCATAAGGAGAGTTGTTTCCTGGTTCTGTGAGTCCTTTTTGACTGATTTAAGCAGTAAATATGAAGCCTGGTGAGACATAAACAAAGGTTTATCTATAAAAACAGCCCCCTTAGTCTATTTTACTACAGCTAATATCACAAGAGGGTTAGTACTAGTGGATTTGTGAATTCAAATGGTACAAAAGAATAACTTGGTCTGTTTCCCTGATATTTATGGTGGGGTAACTCAAAAGTTATTCAGTGAAAATCAGTGGAGATCCTTCAATTTCATGCCAGAGATACATTTTCAGCTGTAAAGACATTAGGAAAAAATTACATTCCTGGGCACAGCAGGAATATGTTAATATTAAATTCCAATTTTTGTAATGAAATTCTAGATTAGGAAAAACCAAATCATCAAAAGCACTAGTGCAACAGCATCACCGTGTTGGGTCAGTCCTGGGGACAAAGTGTAGCAGGGTCAGGGCTGCGAGCAGTTCCTGTGTAGTGCAGTGGCTGTCTGCATTCTAATTAATCCTCTGCCACATGAACAGATATTGGGGCAAAAGTGTGTGATTATAGACACTTGGTACAAGGAGAGAACAGAAAGGTGAGAAATCTTCCCAAATCGCTGGAGCCTAAAGTTAAATACAGCCCAGGCTACAAGACTGGAGCAATGAAGAGGGTGTGTTCTGAGGTTCAGCAGGGAAATGTCCTTGTAATTGTTGCTGGTTAAGCCACACAAAGCCAGAGGAACATCCTGATCTAATCAGTAGGATGATTTTAATATGTAATGGAATGAACCATTTTAACCAAAATCACACTCATTGAACAGAAGATGGATGTTATCAAGGCCTTGTCCCCAGCCTGTTAGTATTCCTCTCTTTTGGGGCTGAAAGTTACCTGACTTGGTGAACACATAGAAAATCCAGCAGGGGAAATCTTTGCAGGTTTACAGCATGTGGGAACCTCCAGGAAGCTTTGACAGCACCAGGAAAGAGCTCCCCTAGCTCTAATTGAGCCAGCTTCAGAACAAGAGACTGCAAAGTGCATCAGAGGAGCAGGAAAAAAGGTAGCTTTGAGGAGGAGAAAAGAATACATGAGGGAAATTATGAGAATACACTCCTGGGGGCTATAGGACTCAGATTCCTGGTGGTTTATGCAGAAAGGGCAAAGTCTAGCTTTTAATCTGAGACCTTCAAATGCATGACAGCTTTTAACAGAAGACAGCAAAGCCTAAAGAAAGAAAAGAAAGAACTCAACCCACCAGGCACCAAATTTAAACTAAACTAAACTCTGGTGAACCCTGTCAGGGAATCTGTGCTCAAAAAGGAACTTAGGGAAACCGAGGTCTCAGGGACTCTTGACGTGAGGAGGAAGAACAGGTATTTATGATACTGCAAACGCCTCTACATGAAAACTGGAGTCTAGCAGAAGTGACTTTCTGACAGCACCACTTGGAAGGAAATGTATTTGCTTTAATTTGTGCAGTGCAACCTCCTCCACACTCAAACCACAGAAGCTCTGAGATTTATGAACAGGAAACAGTGTTTTAGTTTAAGAATGTTAAATTTTTTGGCTTAGGAAATTGTTGCTTCAGTCTTTATTATAAGCAAGATGAAAGTTATCACATATGCATAGAATGTAAACTGAGAAGAGTTTGCATATTCGAGTACCTTAATATTGGACCAGTGTGTTGACACTATGAGATGATTGAAAGAATAACTTAATGTTTTCTGAAAGGTCTGAAATGCAAATCTTTCAAATCAACAAGATCAAGATGAACAGTGAGCTTAGACTTGAATGCTTGCCAGGTTTTCTAGTATATTTCTTTCTCACTTTAACACAGTTTTAATTTGGCATCCTTGAAGATTATGGATGGCTAATTCACAGATCTACTGACTTTAAAGGCATAGGGGCCATAACTGACTTTCCAGCTTGGCCTCTTGTGTATTCAAGCAAAAAAAACCCCTTGTATTAATTTCCATTTCAAGACTAACAGTTTTGCACTAAGAACTGAGGAAGCTTTGCACTTAAAGGCTTCTGTAGCCCATGTCTGTCATTAGTCAGTCTCTGACAGTCATCTGTGTACACTTGAGGAAGCATAGGTATAACAGTGCAGGAGATCCCCATCAGCACATGTAAGTCATTGCTTTCCTGTGTGGTTAAAAAGTCAAACTGCATTGGAAAGGCAAACTGAATTCTGGGAAAGAAAATTCATTTTGCAAGACAAATTTATCTCCAAATAATGAAGACGGCGTTGTGGGATCTCAGACACATTTTGCCTTCTTTCTGTGTGTTACAGAGAGAAAAGTGTCTCTTTTTGGAACAGGCACAGAGCAGACTCTTGTGGAAAGAAATGAGGGAGGACAACTTGGCAAGGACCAGAGAAAAAACCAGCAGCACCATGTTTTCCTCTCTCGCTGACATAGCACCTTGTTCGAGTTCAGTTACAGAGCAGGCTATGAATAAAATTATGACTAAAATTTCAGTCATGGGAGAAACATGGATAAAACTGAGCCTGAACTGCTGGAGTCCCACCCTAGACATTTAGGTGAGGTTCTTTTAATGAAACAATCAGATTATATGGCTGTGCAAGTGATCTGGTTATTCAAAGGTCCTTTTATAGTCACTTTATTAAAAAAAAAAAGAGACACAACTTTTAAACATTATTTCTCTCTTCCTAGATGTTTTAGATATCTAAAACCGGTCAGTTGAATCCCTCCTGAAAAGTATAATTCTATTTTATAATGAAATATGACTTTCCAAGCCACACTGTGGCTTCAGGTTATGTCTGCTGAGATAAATCCCATCCTTAAATGCTTCTTTTCCTTGATTTGTATGGAAAAAAAATGAGGCTGTGGAATAAAATAACCAAAAGAAACACCAATTCCTTGGTAGTCACAGAAGTGGGAAAAGTGCAAGAAGTCACTACAAATACTTCTCTCACCACACCCCACCCCTTAAAGTTCACAAGCCTTTTCTGAACTGGGTAAAGCAAGATTATCTCATAGAAGGGGCAATGGTGAGAGACTGCTTGTTCTTCCAGACACCTGAGTGGGAGCCAAGACAGTTTTGGTCTTTTAGCAGGACATGAGGCAAATTAAATATTACTTTCACTGTTGGTATTAATCACAAGCAAAAGGCTCCAATAGAAAACTATTCATTTGACTTGAAGTGGAAAGAGTTACTTGCCTGCTTAGGAAAAGTTTCTATGTGGTGTAAGTCTTAAGGGTCTGAGATGAACTGCAAGTATTTGGATAACTGTGAGGAGTTCTCAGGAAAACAAAATGCTACTAGAGACCCAGAGGCAAAACAATTAACATAGTTGTGTAACCAGCTAAGCCTTTGCAGTTGCTGTCCACACACTTAGTTGGGCTGGAGAAACAGACGACCTCAAGGGCTTGGGGCACAAGGTTCTCAGCCTGAAGACAGCAGGAAGTTTGTGGGCAAGAGTGAGGAGATCTCTGCCTACGTGCCAGGCACCAGTCCAGACACTATTATACTCTCCACAGGCCCAAAGGTCCTCTGAGACATTGCAGTTTTACTCCAGAAGAATGTGCCTAAGCTGAGAAAATAACCCTGTTTTGTAATTTCAGGTATTGCCTGCTGCCACTCTGAGAAAGTCAGCAAGGGCCTCAGAAGTTAGACAGGATCATCTCCTAAAGACGCAGGAGGCAAAAAGGAGTTTGCTTGGCAATCTCTGATAATACTCTGAAAGCTCTGAAAATTTCAGGGAGGAAAGTGTCTTAGAAACATCCAAAGGACTTCATTAAACTGTTCTTGGGTTCTGCAGCGGAATGGGAAGATTAAACAAACAGAGGAAGAGCTCCAGGCCCTAAAGCATGGCTGATAGCAATGAGGACAAGAGCCTTGGAAAATTCTACACGTATCTCTGACCACCAGACAATGCTAAGCTCCTTCCCTCCATCTCAGTAGGGAAGGGAATTGACCCTGGTGCCAAGTGAGGTTGAGCAGGAGCCAGGAAAATGTCATAGTGAACCTCCTCATTGTGGAAATGCCCCCCAGCCTGAGGTTTAACCAAGGCTGCTGTCCCCAGTTGCTTTGCTGGAGAAGACCAAGCCCTAGTGAAGAGCAATGAACAGAGAGGACAAAGTATTATCAGTAACTGTTTACTCAGAAAAGGCTTTCAACCAATTTGTTTTTGTTGCAATAATCAACTTGGGAAGCACTGTGATCCTGGAAGGAGATTTTATGGATCATTAATAGAGAAGAAATTATCAGAGAAAAAGACTTTTCTGACATTTTCAATACTGTTTTCATCAGAGCCCATTTCACCAGCAATAACTCTTTTACTTATACTCTATTTTATTTTCAAATCAATGCTATTTTCTTCACCTAACACTAAGTCCTTTACTTTGATAGCAACTAAACATTTCCTTTAATGAGCATTAGAGATAACAATTTTAAGCATTAGTTGGAGCCATCATGCAACAAAAACTCAATGCCATTTAAAAACACTTAATGCACAGGCTGACGTTTGTCATCTCACTAAAGAGCATAAGATTAGAAGTGCTACAACTTAGAAAGAAAGCATTATCCCACTGATGAGATAGTGCTTTTCTTTGTACTAATCACACAGTCTAAAACATGTCTTTGTATCTACTTCTTATGTTAAAAACCCTAACAGAATGTTCCTGCATTAGATGACAAAGAAAAACAATCCTAGGACTCTGGTTGTTTTTTTTTTTTCCATGAGCATTACTTTAAATCTTTCCAGGGGTAATGAATGTTTCATGGCTTGATGGCAAATTCAGCAGACTGGAAGATCTCTCAGACTGAGAAGTGTGCCAGTCTCAGACCTCTAGAAAAGGCATAGATACACTGGCCTGAGACTCACAGTTTTCCAAATCCAATCAGCAGTTTCAGGTTCATCACAGTTGTGGCCAGACCAGATTGTAAGCAAATCTGTATCAAGCTCAGGGGGTGAGAAATTAATTGGGATGAAAGAACTTTGCATCAGTCATCAGTTAAAGCAGAAATGAACTTAAACCATAAAAATAAATATTTAAGCTAGACACTAGGGGAAAATATTCTTGCCATAAAGGTACTGAAGCACAGGGACATGCTGTCTGGGAGGGTTGTGGAGTATTTACCATGACAAGACTTCAAATAAAGCAACCCTTTTCCAGAAGTGACACAATAATACTGACTCTGCCTTGGGGCAGGAGATAGATTGAATTGTCTCTTCTGGCTTTATTTATGTTGCACAACCCCTATATTTCCTGTATTTACAAGCTATCTCTGTCCTTGGAGCTTGTAACAATGCAGTTACACTGATTTACACTGGCTGGGGGACTGGGACATGTTCATGACTCATGTTCTCATGCCATCAGCTCTCCAGGAGCTCCCTGCAGGTGATGCCCAAGCTCAGAGTGCAGCAGCCACTCTCAAAGAGAGGGGAAAGTGAGATGTTTTATGACAGTGCAGAGATTTTGCTGCAAAGTTCTCTCTACTGCTTGAGTAAGAGTAAGGGAAGGAGGAGGCTACTTTGAAAACCCAAAACTGCAGATGTTCTCATCTCTAGAAGCCATTAAATGGTGGAAGTGCAGCACTCCTTACAAACTGAACAGCACTGCCAGTTGCTGTAACACAGACCAGCTCCACTGTTTCTTGCTAATTTATCACAATCTAGTATTTGACCCACTGAATCGCCAATTAAATTTTTATACATTCATGAACTATTTATACTGTATGAAAAATCAATATCTTTTTATTGTACACCTGATTTAGGATGGATAAAAGGAATATTTCAGTACTCTCCAGGGTCAGTGCAGAGAGGCCTTGAATGATGAAAGATACAGTATCTTTTGAATGGAAGAAAAACTTCAGGATAGAAAGAGTGTAATTTACATGAAATATCATTCCTATCCATGACATGAATATTTTTTCACAAATTCACAAGGAAACATAATGTCCTTTTAGAAGACAACATCTATTTTTTTATCACTGTTTAAGAAAGAATTATTAATTTGGAATTTTTTTTTTTCTGAATTTCTTTGCATTTTGTATGAGCCATAAAACCTCAAAGGAGTTATTTGAATTTCAATACCATCTCACACTTTTATCAAAATATACTATGACCCTGCTTCCATAATTAACATGAAGATAGGACTCTTAGTCTAAAATCTGAAATCTCACTGTTACTTCAGATTTTCCCTAAGTATGCTTTTGATTAAATAATTACTGAACAGCACTGTTAACAATTTATCTATGATAGAGAGCATGTCACCAGTTTCCTACTCATGTTCCTGCAGTTTATGCTTTTGCCAATGTGTTTTATGAGTATTTATTAAAGATGACGCCTTGAGTTAATAACATAAACTACCTACTAGTTTCATAATCATCACTGCAGTGCAGAAAGCTTTAGAGTTACGGTGGTTCTGCATTGACGACGTCAACAGATTTACTGCATTCATTTCCTTATGCAAATATTCCAAAACCATACATAAGTTTATAACCTTATACAGCGTGCTGCCTACACGAGGGTATCAAAGCCTGTGAACATGCAGAGAAGACTTTAAAGTTGACAGCACAAGTAATGCTGCTCCTTCCTTTCTTGTTTCTCTGTTGTCCTAATATTAGAACTCATTTAAAGCTCGGTTTTGCAGGCACACGGGGACTTCTGCACAGCCCCTACAGTAAGAGGGGAGACTGCCCATGGTTTTACATGACATGTCTGTCTTTACTGAAGTCACTCGTAAGGAGTCTGTGTGTGAGCTAGGCAGAGACTTGTGATCCATTCCTGCCCTGTGTATGTGTGTGGTTTGCTCCTGTGTGGCAGAGCTTGCCTCTCTCTTGCAAGATAACCTTGTTTGCTCTTGCAATTTGTCCATTTTCCCCTCTCTTCCCCAAGAGGAGCATGGTGCTCTCTGCTCTGACTCCCTCAGCCACACCTCACCACGAGAGGTCTGCAAAACACAGACCCTGGGATAGGAGGCCTGAATTATCTTCAGGTCACTGAGAGTAGAAGAGGATTTGAAGGGACCCTGAAAGGTCTTTATCTTGGTCTTCCTTTGCTATTACCCAAATCAAAATCAATTTTACTTATGTCTTATCTAACTCATGTCTTGGGTAACTTCTTTCTAGACCCTTTGGTGACAGGAATTCCTCAATTTCACAGCAGTTTATTCTGTCTTTCCCATTCTTTACAATTAAAAGCTTTTCTTGAAGTCTAGTCTTCTATATGACAGTTTAAGCCTTTTACTTACCTGTGACAAATCTATTTGTTCCACACAATTCTCCATGTTGATATTCTGTGCACTCCAATATATTTATAGTCTTTTTCTTAAAACATAATTCTCAAAACTGGGTACCATACTCTGAAAGTGGCCCTACTGGTGTTGAGTAGAGATTAATGTTTACATTCCCTACCTTGAAGACAATATTCCTGTTTATTAATCCTTGTAGAAAATTTATTTTTTTCCACAGCAGTATTATACCGTGGTGTTGAGTCACGCTCTGCTTCTGAGCTTCCATAGCCTTAAACCTATTCCTGTTGTACTCCTACCTGGCCTGTGTCTCATTTCCCATACTTAACATCTCTGTGAATAATTTTATGATAAGCCTGTTTTCCTCCAAGGATTATTCTGGAAGCCAGAATCTGACAATATTAATTAGTAGTTGATCTGGAAAAAAAATATTGCTTTTTGGAACTTGGAAGACGATAATCAAGTTAGATATCAATAACTCTCTGTCTACTTATCTGGCAAACAGATAGTCAATTACACATCAAAATCATGTAAAAACTAATACATAATAGTCAGCAATAAATTTTAGATCAATTCTTTTGGTCAGGTACAATCTGGACACTACATAGAACTATGCATAATTTTGCAGAAAAATATGTCTTAATTAAACATGGAGAGTATCTGGAATCGATACAGATGGAGAATGCACTCACATTAATCTTATTGAAAGAATTTACATTTTATTTTAGGAGAAGAGCAGTACAGAGAGTTCCAGTCACATCTTGAAGTCCTTCTGCTACTGCTATCATGGAAGTTTTGCTTGAGTAAGGACTATAGGATGCAAGACCTGCATTTCAAGTGAGCTTTTTTAATTAATAAATAAGCATAGGTGAATTAATACATGCAAAACAATTTGACATGGATAATAATGGCAATAGCTAGAATTAATAGATTAGCACACTTAATTTGTCTTAGGTTGCCTAATGAACAATTAGCCTTGTGCTTAATCCCTCTCAATCCATTCATTTTTGCGGCTCTTAGTCTCTAAAGATAAACATGGATCATTCCAAATGTGTTTTATTTTTGAAAACTACTTATATTAGTATTTAATTGTAATCATTGGCATGGAAACCATCTCATAAATGGGAATGGACAAAAATGGGACATGCTAGAGGACCTATAACTTGGTGCTTCAAAAAAAGTGTTGCAAAAAAATTGCAGCACTCTAAAATACTACTGAGATAAATCTCATTTATTAAATAGAGATTGGAAACTGTTTCTAAAGGCCTTGGGAGCACACTGTTGACCATTCAATAAGTGGCATTACAGTGCCAGGCCCTGCTGACCACCATCAGACAGTGTATAGGCACTTGATTCATTTAGTGGGATGGAGGTTCAAGAGCCAAATTATCAGATGAGTATCTGGGGTTGCCTGTACTACCAGTGGAGAGCAAAAAGCATTGACATGCATCTGCAGGTTGCCTGAATATGCCTCTCTGTGTCTCCTTATCCCAGACTGTAAAAAATTTCCCTCTCACATGGACACCAATCTTTCACCCAGTGCATCCAAGGAGTGATTATTTAGCTCTCCCAATGTGACCAAGTTAAACAGAGAAAAGGGAATTCTCTCATACATAATGGTGGCTTGGGCTCTGGTAGAGTCAGGCCAGTTAAATCTTCAAAGCAGCTGCTTACCTGTTCAGGGGGAATTCAAGGCTTGGAAGTTAATGGTCAGGAAAAAGTGAGTTGGACTAGATGTGTTTTAATTCACTGAGGTATATTAAAATGGTATGTTGATTAATTTGAAGGCTAGAGGGAACATTTTTTTTTTGCAATATTAAGGTGCTCCATGAATTACTGCAGATACACAAGCTTTTTATTTTTTCCTTCATGAGGTTTTTTTTTGTTGTTGTTGTTGTTGTTTTTTTCCAGCAGAAACTAATGCTCTCTTATGCATGAACCTAACAGATGTAAAGGGCTCTCTAAGGAGCCTTTGGGGCAAGTGCCTGTGGCAGCTTCATTAAGACCTCTCTGACATTACCCATGTCCTGGACATTTTGGGAAATATTCTACACTGACCAGGGAAAAGTTTGAGTCTTAATAAAAGAGAAATAAAACAAATGAGGTACAAATTGTGTCTAAGGGTCATGAAGTTCTGGATTCTTGCCTAAGGCCACATTCATCAGGCTTAATGTGGATGAACTCTGTGTGGGTTTGCCAGCAGCAAAGTCAAACATCTCATTTGAGACCTCCTGACTGTGATTATGAGTCTGAAAGCACGAGCAGCTTCTGCCTTTCCATTGAGCCTACAGCTGGAATACCCAAATGAGTACCCACCACACATCTGTATCCATCACTCAGCTCTGCAACATCCATCATTTTATGCTTGCAGTTGGTCTGGAGGCTGCCCCCATACAAAGAATCCTGCACATGACTGAAAGATTCCTTTTATCTGTCCTAAATCAGGTAGACAT